AGCAATTTCTTTCTTATTATATATGATCCTTTTTTGCATAATTTATTTAAAAATATAAATAAAAATATAATTAAAAAACAATTAAAAATAATTAAAAATATAATTAAAAAAAAATAAATTTCGTCATTGTTCTATATATCATTAAGATTCAGATTTAAATACATGTTATAATTATTTAAAATTACAATATATACATATATTTATATATATTTATATATTTTCCAAAGATATCATATATGTTTTTAACATCTAAAATATTTTTCACATTAATTATAATTATTATAATTATTATATTTATTGCAAAATTTATTATGTAATATGTAATTAAATGTAATATATATAATTAAATTATACATATAAAAAAAAAATTTTTTTTTTAACTTTACAATAATATATAATAATTAATAGATTAATTTATGTTAATTAAATTTTTTTAATAATTAATTTTTATTTCTAATTTTCAATAGTAAAAATTAATCTTAAAAATTAATATGATTTAACAAAATATCATTGAGAAATTAATTAAATTACAATTTTTTTATAATAAATTAATATATCTATATTTTTCGAACTAAATTTGAAAAAAAATTTATTTTTATTAATTTTAATGATTTTTAATATTCTATTACTTCTAATAATAGATAAAATATTATGTTTTTTCTTTTATAATGAAAAATAAATTACCTTAAACTGAGAAAAATTGATGAATTATTATATTCATTAAAATAAGCAATTCAGAAATAATATTACATACTAGATTTTATTTCTTATATCTTTCACAATCTGATTTATAACTTTGTTTTACATTATTCTTTTACTTCTGATTTGTCTTATTGATTCATAGTTTGTTTGAATTTGTAAAAAATATTTCGATATTTATCTTTTTTTGATAGTGTAGAAATAGATTTTCAAAAATTTTTCATTCTTTTTATATAATTTTATATCAAATTAATCAAATAGAATATATTGATTTATATACACATTCATATTATATATGTATATATATGTTTTATATATATATATATACATAATGTATTATATATATGTATATATTTCTGAAAAAATAATAAGAATTGAAATTGGATGAATATCAATTAAATATTTTTAGTGAATTATTTAAATATAAAAAATGTTTAAAATCTTGAAAATATACAATAATTTAAATGAGAGAATATTACAATTTTCATTTATTATTATAATGATTTTATTTTTAATTTTATTAATTATTTAAAATGTGCTTTTCTGCTTTATATTTCTTCATACATATCATATTCTAATTTAAATAAATAATATATTATACATGCATAATACATTCTAATTATATTATATATGAATTATTAAAATATTAAGCATTTTCATTCTTATAATTTTTTACTTCTACTTTATAGTGAGTTTTTATATACAAAATAAATAATATATGTATATAGAATTGCAAAAATTTTATTATTATATAATCTAATAATACGTACAGATATAACAATTTTTATTTCCATTCAAAATCATCACCATTATTTTTTATGATTTTCTCATATTTATATTATTTATATTTATAATCTATCCAAAAACTAGATATCAATTATAATAATATATAAGAATTGAAGTGATATTAAATATAATAATAGATATAAATTTATATATGTTACATGTTGAATTATTTTTCTTGTGATATTGTATATAAAATCATTCAATTTTAAATTTCATTTGTTTTATACATTATACATCCATATCAGAATTCTTGCTGCTTTAATTTAAATCTATAGAATTTTGTATATTTTGTAATTTTGAGTACCTGATCAAATATAATGCTCTTTATTTCGGATACTTAATTTAAATCCAATAAATAAAATATCATCCAAATAATAAGGTATTTACTTAATTAACATAAATCCAAGAATCTAAATATGTATTGAATTTTATTATTCGAATAATCAAGTTGATTATAACTCAAACTTGATTTCGAATTCCGAGTATTCTATTTAATATTTGTCAAGTATTTCTTATATGTATTATATATTTGGATTCGGATCAGAAAGAATAAATTAAATAATGAATTCAAATTAAAAAAAATATAAAAAACAGTATATTTATTAATATATTTTACTTATTTTAGTATTTGATATCTATATAATAAATACTTTACTCGAGTAGCCAAATTCATATTTCCATTCGAATAAAATATTTTAGAAATAGAATATGAATTATAATAAATATTCCGAATATTATAAGAATTTTAATCTCTAATTTATATAGATTCTGTTTCTACATTCTTAGAAATCGTAATGAATTTATTAAAATTTAATTTAAAGAATAGAATTCATAAAAAAAAATTGATTTTCTTGTAAATGAAAAATCATTAACTTTGTAATTAAGGATAAACTTAATATATATATAAACATATGTTACACAAGTATCCACGTAGCATGTCTCATTAAATATTCATTCATTCTTTTATTAATTTATCTTATATTAATAACATCGAAAATCTTTTAGTAATAATTATTAAATTATAATTTATATGTTCTATAAATCACAATAAATGGCAGAAATAAAATTTCTATTATTGAAATTTGATATTAATGTTATTTTTATCTAATTATGCATTTTAATTAAATAATTTTTTAATTCACATTATCACAAAGTTAATCACAAAGTTTATCAAAATATAACTTTAAACAAGCTTACATAATTATTTTTTTCATATAAAGTATGTATTTTTTAAATTAGAAAAAAACTTAATAAATTCATTATTATTCACTGATAAAAAATTAAATAAAAAGTAAATATTAAATAAATCTATTGTATTATAAATATGAATATTCATATTAGTTGAAAAGAAAAGAAAACTAATTTGCATAATTTGCATAAAAATTGCATTAACATCAATATATAATTCTTTTTATAATAAAACAAAGTTATAGTTTCATATATCATATTTAGTGAGACATTCTATATATATATATATATATATACACATATTATATATTATTTCATAAAGGGCGATATATTCCAAAAATATAAAATTTTTACATGAAAATAATATTTAAAAAAAATTTTTTATTATAATCATTATTAAATATATTTTTTATTTTAGCAATAATTATAATATTTGTCATATAACTGCTTAAAATTTTTACGTATATATATATATATAAATATAAATGAAAAAACTTTAATCAACTTTAATCAATCGAAAAAATTAATGGAAAAAAAAATATAATTATTAATATTAAATCTTATTAAAAACAATCTTTATATCATCAATTAAAAACAAATATAATAGAAATAAAATATTATAAATATATTATTACTATATTAAAAAAATAAGAGTAAATTTAAAAAAATATTAATAGTAAAACTCATTTTATTTCTGCTATATGAATTTCTTCTTTTTTGGATACATCATACCTTATGAAATCATCTTTGTGTATATGTGTGTGTGTGTGTGTGTGTGTGTGCGCGCGCGCGCGCATGCAATTTCGTTTAACTGAAAAAAATGATATATCTTTCAAAAGTTGCTTAAAAATATATATTATGTGTCAATAATTTTTCTAGATGTATAGAGATTATATAATGATGAATTTTATTATTTTAAATAAAATCATATAATCTTTAATATATTAATCGTTGCAGTTTATTCTTTATTTAAAAAATTATTAATACAAATTATTGAAATTTGTAAAATTTATTATAGAATCATGCGAAGTAATAGTAGTAATCCCCATTTGTCTTATATTATCTTGTTTTTTATAAAAACAAATTTTTTTAAAAATTATTTTCTAAAATGATTTTAAAAAATGATTTTATGATATAAATAATTTAATATTTTTTTGTATAACTTATGTCGAATAATGCATTGAAAATTATATAATTACATTTAAAAAAATAAAATTGATTTTTATAAAACTTTTGTATGTCTGCACAGAAAAATTATTAATTCCATGCAATGTATCTTTTTATAACAAACATTTTTGTAAGAGTATGTATCATTTTATATTATCCTTCATAAAATATTTCATATTTCTCAATTAATTTGAAAATACTGTGTATGTGTATATATATATATATATATATATA